AAATATAAATTTTTGCGACATTTTAACCTGATATATGATGAAAGTAAATGAAATCCAGCAAAATATTCTGAAAAATAACAAATGTCTACAAAAATATAAATTCTTTCATCGAAAAAAATTAGAGGAAGCTCAGCTCCAAAAAACAGAGGAGGCTCAGCCTCCCCTGCCTCCTCTGAGGAGCCGCCACTGGTTTCCTCGTATATTCGTAAAATACCCAAATCACAAATTTTTATGCTCGTTTTCCCCTTGACGGCTCTGACAACGACAAACTTGAGGCCTTTGTGATAAGGGAAAAAGGCAGGAGCATAAAACACACCCTGCCAGACGTCCCGTCAGTAATTAAACTGCTTTTTTCAATTTTAACAAAACGGAACGGATTAAAATTAATCAATTCAACGACAAGCTGTCAGCGTGTGGAAAAATCCACCATGTCATATTGCGGCTTCGAGAATATTATTCAACTTTTTACCGCATTTTCAGCCAATAAAAAAAACTTTTTACACGCCGACACTAGTGTTGGGTCAGGTCGGTTCAACAAATTCCGTCATTTTCATTTAAATGGCCAAGTTTTTCTCCGGAGCAGCGACTCAGGACAGCTGCCGATAATAATGCCGGAAGCTCAAGGTCGAGTCGATATCCGTAATATTATATAGGCGCGGCAGAGATGATCCTTTGAAAGACATCAAAGAGTTTAATGAAAATTCTGGATGACTGAATACAAAACATCGAAGTTACGTGACGCGTAATTCTAATTACGAAATACCTTTTTTGATTGTCGCCGTCTGCTAATGTTTGGTCGAATTGGAATTTTTTTGGGAATTATAGCGGTCGAAACAGAAATTCGTTATTGCAATGGTATTTCAATTTCGTCAGCGGGTTGTTAACAGAGGATCTCATTTAGACTTCAATATCCTACTGAATATTCAATAAATGGTGATTTTAATTTATATAATAAAATTTCATTTTGGGCATTCGTAAAGCGGGAGGCTCTGTTTATACAATCTTTTTATTTTCGAAATCAACTGCAGAGGGTTCTGCTGGTGACAGTTTCGTTTACAATTTAACGTCGAAATAAATAAATATTGCAACCATTTGAGAATTATACGATATTTTCAATGTAAATTTTATATTATTTTTTACGTATGTTTATGCGAACACACGCTCAATAAATGTTGTCCGGTTGTGCTCTAAAAATGTACCTAAGTGTTAAAATTTAAGTTATGTCACACGTAATGATCACATCACATTCTATAAAATAAAATCAGCTGACATTCTATAAAGTCCAGGAGCAGGAAATATAAAAAAAAATTATGATCATTTATCTTAAACTGTGTAAACTGATAGATTAGGAAGCACTAAATAACTCAGTCTACATGATTCAAATACTTATAGATTAAGTACTTGTGATTCGATTTTAATTTAAAGTGGTATTAATAAATCAAAATTAAATTGAAAACTATCTATAAAAGAAATGCCACATGAGTACTATTTACGCTTGCAATTAAATTGTTTCTTGTCAACAGTGTTCGTATTTTTAGCTGCTACTAATTAAAAAAAATTAAACTTGCTTTTTTTTATTTATTTATTTCTTCCATTGTATCGACAATTTTAAGGATATAGATTGCATTGTTAATTCTATTAGTAATAAGTAGCTCGGTCCACCCGAGGACAAATACTGATAAGAATGCACTGTACTACGAAAATTGCAATATAAAAATTGTTATCTTAATTGATGAGTAATGACAATTTTATAAATAAATAAATAAATAAATCGAGTGAAGATAAGATTTGGATGGAAAGTTTATTAAAACACCTTTTGAAGTTTAGTTGTTTAAGTTTGACATAATGAACCTTTTCCAAAATATCTTTGTATTAAGTCATACTTGTTTTTTATTTTAATAAATTAGAAGAAAACACTGCAAAATACAATAGGGTATACCGAATTTCCATTTGTGGGGAAGCATTTCACTCGAATTTTAATAATAATCCGTGTTTCAGCTTTTTGTCCAGTAACAATTTCAAAAGCGAAAGCTTTTAATCGTCATTATTCATCCAGTGCAATGAGTTATCCCAACACTCCTGAAAAATTGCATGTCGCATTTAAAAAGTTTCCCTTTTATGTAAACATCAGTTATCCGAAATCGTGTTTGATCATACGTTGGTTTAAACCTTTTTGAATCAACAGCGCTCCAAAATAGTTTGTCAGGATTTGCAAAACTGGCGAAGCGAATTACACAAAACACTGTTAACCAATCATTTAATTAATAAATTCCACATGACAACAACACTATTATTTATCGGTAAAATTCTTGTGGAAATATAATTTTCACTACCAGTTGTACACTGCTCTGAAAGTATATTTTGAGATTTAAAACAGAGAAATAAAGAGTGATAGATTGTAGATGCAACATCTACCTAGTTAGATGAAGATGAAGAGTGTTCGAATGAGAAGACGTAGCACAATCAAACAATCTGATAATCTTCTCATCTGAACACTCGTTCCTTATCGCCATTTTCAAATATCCACTGTGACTTCTGTTTATCTGTGACAACAAAAATGGGACTCGGCATTAAATATTGCATATAATCACCCACCCGAAAATATATATCACGAGTTGCTTAATGCAGGCAACCCAAAATACAATATTTATTATTCACTATGACACGTTTTCAAGTTAGTATTGAAACAAAAATCTCAGGTGGTAAAGTTCATATGGAATTTTGCTTCTAAGTGAAGGGTAGCTGAATATCATAGAAAAATAATTTTCCTAGAAGACACCAACGTAAATTGTTTTACATAGTTTAGGTGACGCAATTCATTGCTTATTGTTGCCTATATCTTAAGCGAGAAGTTAGAATGAAGGCAATTACTCAGGTAGGACAGAAAATAATCCAATTTTAGCAAGACCACTCTAGAGGGAAAACGGCGATTCAAAGTGCCTAGTAAGCAACAAAGATAACTCTGAGTTATGTTCCACACAAGAAAGTTATTTCGAAAAGGAGCAAAAAACCATCATCAATGGATTTTTTTTAACTCCAAAGTTCACCTGAAAGACGGAATTTAGAATATAATATACCGACCGGGACTAATGTAATATCGAAATTGACTCCAAATGTTGCCTTCAGAATTGCCTCCAATGTCATAACATGACAATACGAAATTTAATAATTGTCCCAATAGGGCGACAACAGTGCGTTAGCGAAGAAAATCACCATTAACGAACAAGAATTGATAAAAACGACAAACCTACGTAAATTCAAGATTCACCCAGAGACTGATGAGGAATAAAAAAGTAATGTACTTGTACATGATTGAATAACGATTATCAAATCAACACAAGCAAACTTTGTTTACTGAAATATTAATTAACTGTTTAAATTTTTACTCCGTTAATATTCCCTTCGTATTCTAAAAATACACTTCTAGAATAATTTTTTATTTTTTGTGAAAAAATCCAATAATCGATGCCCCTAGGACTTGCCTTTTTATTTCCACCGGTTTCTCACCCACGTTGTTCGCATAGCAAGTTCGCGTTGTTGCTCATTTGCCCTACCGAGATTGTTTTTTTATTAAAGACCAACTAACACCCTACTTACGCGCTAAATTAGATGCGGCAATGCTCAAAGAAAATTAGGTTAAGTTTAACAGCCGACATTGTGAAAGATTAAGACGAGCAATTTAATCCTTAACAGTGAAAAGTAATTTTATGACAGGCATAAGAAAGCAACTGTCAGTTTTTGTGGGATTAAATTAAGTTTAAACAACTTTTTTGACAGTGCTATTCCATTTATGTGCAGAGTTTTAAGTGTTACAAAAAGTTAGCGCCGTAATTCAACAGGTGGCGGCTTTTTAATAAAAAAAAACAGCTTCTCGTCTGGGATCTTAGGCTCAACTTTTGCCTTTAACAACAAACATTTCACCATTTGTCGAGATACACAAATAAAACCACTGAAAGTATCTTGTGGCGCTTTTTTGCTCTAAAATATATATTTGGAATTGCGACGAACGAACTTTAAACTCCAATTTTTCACACTTCCATAAATGCAGAGACACCCACGCTTTAAATTTTATCTGCTCTGACCTAGAACACCTTTGACCTACGACTATAATTTTTCTTAGGAATATAACTTAGAAGTTTGTCTTCTGAAAAGTGAGATTTTCGATCTAATGTTTTAGTTTCTTTGTAAAAATGGTTGTTCTCCTGTAAGCGTAGACGCTCACTTGTAATCAGTCCATCTGTTCGATAAACGGGCTGTAGTTGTGACCACAAGCTTTTAGCAATGGTGCGGGTACTTTCAGTTGTGTATAGCTAGATCTATAATCACCTGTAGAAAAAAATAATAGTAAGTACTCATAAATCGAGTGCTTGACATGAGAGCAGCAGTTCGTTCTCAGTTAAAGTCGGTTTTCTACACCAAAAAAGTATAATAAAATAGGAAACCATAGATATCAGACTGGAAATGAAAAGGATGCAAAAACTTGGCAATACAATTTTTCATTAGTAATCCGTAACATCGCTGAAGTAAATTAAAATAGAAAAGTAATTACATGGTCGAATCCAGAGTCAAAAGAGCTTGATAATAAGTTTCCGCTTGCACTAATTTCTCATTTAATCGACTGAATTAATTATGTAATACGTATGTAATGCGTTATTAATATTAATAAAAATCGTATCGAAGAGCCTAATGTGTTCTATTCAACATACACCACACTGCTATTAAAGCGGTGAAATTTCCCCTTGATTACTAAATTCCTCTACGTTTCTGTTGCTCCTTTATGCGTGCTCGCTATCCGACTTCCATTCACGAGTTCAGCAGCTCAGCTTCAATGTTTCCTCTGAAATACCCCACATAAGAGGAAAAATCAACTTGTTATAACACTCCGCTAATGACTCTGGCTCATATAATATAGCGGCTTTTCAGTTTGCCCGGAAAAGCCAAGAGAGCCTATTCGTGGTATAATTGAGACGTCACATTCAGCCCGTGGTCTTTCATTGCAGGTTGCAGAATGTCAGAACGAGGGCAGGGAGTGCATAATGGTGACAAGCGGAGCTGTGGCCTTCGGCAAGCAGAAATTGACCCAGGAATTACTCATGTCGCTGTCGATGAGAGAGACCTTATCACCTACAGATCACACGAGAGAGGTATGTATGATCAAATTCATTTCGAACTCGGCGGACGTCCTTTAAACACCCCGGAGGATCGGTTACAGCTATCGATTGCACTGCACGTGATTCCCTTACCCTTTTTTTGTGGGAGATTTTTATTGTCCCCCGGAATTGTTTTACAATAGCTCCGTGAGGATTTCCCGGGGAAAAAATTGGATTGCTCCACCAAAGCCGACAATTCAAAGCTTCTGTCCTTTCTTTGGCGCGTTCGCGGAGGCATTTCTGATATTATCAGGGTTCCAACCTGTGGAATACTAAATGAGCATATTTTCGGAATTTTTTAAATAGAAGTGGTAGTTAATTGTGTTAGCTGAAGCAGGAGACTAATTAAAAAGACGCTACACTTAAAAATTTGTATGGAAAGAATTAGTTTCGCCCGCTTTATCAAAAAGTTGTTAAACAATACGTGCGGAATTCTCAGCCATAATATCCGGTAGTTATACAACAATGTGGTCGTTTTCGTAATGTTTGTAAGTTTTAAGCGGAAAAAGCGGTATTATAATTACACAGGACGTCAAAATTTATTTCAAACATATTCGTTGCTCTATTGGAACTGAATATGTTGAAAAATATTGGCCAAAATTTACCTGTTACCTCTAGCATGTTCACGAAATTTGACCTTTCTGCAATTTTCCTTTTGTTAAAAAAATTTCCATTTTCAGTAGGCGACATTTTAAGGACAGAAACTTTTTTTCTATGTAATCAACTGTTTTTAGAAATTCCAGATGGTTTGTTATTTTTTCACTTTAGTGCGTAATGCTCCAGTTATTTAAAGAACGATTGACTTATTAAACATCCACCACTGTTATATATAGCTTTTATCCTCTTAAAAAAGGCAATAAAAAGTGGGGTTGGAAACAAAAAGATTCTCAAAATGTAGTCCGATGAAAAAAAGTTCGATGTGTCCAAGTGTTTTTGGCAAATTTCGTTGCTCAATTATTTAATGAAAGTGTTTAATATTTTACGGCCACTAGAATGACACACACTTTCAGTTTTTTGATAATGAAAAAGTAAACGACGTCCCAAAATAAAGTGACTGTGTGTAGTAAAACTGCCAACACATTTGTATGACATTAATTAATTTTAAATCCTGAAACCGAATAATTTAACGTATGTACGTCGTGTGAGAGAAAAAACATCGACGCCAGTTGTAAAAAGTATAAAAATTTAATTAATTTCCTTTGATGAGGGAAATATTACAAATTACATTTCCAGGAAGAGATAATTCAAATTATTAATCAAAAACAAATAAATTTGTTTCAGTTCCATACATTTTTTGTTTATTTTGTTTGGTTTGATATTTATTATTATTATGTATATGTTATTATTCATAGGAATATTTAGTTCAGAGTTACGTTTTTTTTTTGACTATTTCAGTTTGCACATATTAATTTTCGTAATTATGTTACAAAAATATGGCATCGTAAATTTCCGGGACGAGAAATATTTAAATTATTGATTAAAAACAAACAGTTTATTACTTTCAGAAATTTTTAGTATTCATTAGAAACATTTTTGTTTATTCAACTATTCAGTCATATAATTACTATTTGTGTATGTTTAATAAAGTATTATAGTTCAATTTATTGAAATTTTAATTTTCTGATTTGTAGTGAATTGCAATCATGACAATGTTTGCTTTATATGTGTGAACACTAATGAACGTCGCTCTAATCAAGTACGTTTGTTTTAAAATTACTGGCTACAAGCTAGAAAAAAAATTGTTCTCATTGTTGTTATTTCAGGTGACTATTTTTCAGAGCATGTTATTACTTGTTCGATCTATCAACTTCACAGATTAATAAAAATTTAGCCAATAAAAGAACTCGTTTCGGTGAACATTAAAAAGAATACGCAGGAAATGAACTTTGTGCGTGTCGATCCAATTTCTATAACTATAATAAGTTACAACATAATCATCATATTAGGAGGAAATCGCGAAATGTCTAAACGACTAGGTACTAGTCACTGTTTTAATAACAAAAAATAAACTTCAGAAAAGTAGAAATAAAAAGAATTGGTGAAAATATTAATTATAACTGACTGCAAATTTAATTAAATTTAAGATAAGTCTAAAATCATCAATGGAAAATAATTTATATAGGATTTGATAGTGTTTAAAGCTATTCATCGTAAACCATACGCTGAGAATGACACACATTTTTATGAAGAAGATTTATTAACAGGATTTACATCTGTGAAAATTTACATTTTTTCTGTATAAATCTACACTACTGCTGTCAATGTTGAAAAATCGTCCATAAATTTACAAACTTCCAGGTGAAGAGAGCGAAAACTCCTGGTGATGTCTTAACTAAGTTATCTAAATTATTTGAAAAGTATGCTGCAAGACAAATTGTTCAAAAATAATAATAATAATTAATAGTTTGAAAACTCACGAACTAGTAAAATGTTTGCACACAGCTTGTCTTTCAGAAAAAATTATGAAAATTTTTAACAATCACATTAATAATTTTTTGCACCCTAATTTTACGTGCATGTTTTAAAAAAGATTAAAAATAGACTCAACTTTCATTTTTTATTAACTGAAAATTAAATAAATATCCATGTGTTGTATATCATTAGTCCATCAAAATCCGTTAAATCGTTTAAGCTAAAAAAAACAATGCCGTTCACAGAATTTCGATATTTCTATCCGTTCTCGGTCAACTGTTAACATAATTTATAAAGTAAATATCATCAAGGAAATAACAACCTTAGAACACCAAATTACTTGGAACAGGAAACAACAACAATAATAATCACAACAAAAACAAAACAACAATAACTTAAAGGTTAATGTGTAATACTGATTATGCTGATGTTGAATAAATAGTCAGGAGTGAGAAACAGGACTGTTATTTGTTTTAACTAATTTTAAACAATCTTCGTCAATTCGGCACTAATTTTCAAAAATTTACAACCACCTATCAGTGCATTCTCTAAATTTACCAGATCTTAGATGAGTCATCTGTTGTTTCTTTTTGTATATACTTATTTGGTTGATTGTTTAAAGTATTTTTACTTCCCGAGCGTAAGCAAAGGAAATATTGGAATATTATTATATTTATTGTATTGCTAACTGAAAAAATATGTCCACGTATCTTAATTAGGTCATTGGACAACATTCCATCTTTTTTAGGAAATTATTTTCACATGAGTTTATGCTAGAAAATACAAAATTGTTTATTATTATTATTGCAAAAACTGTGCGTTGAATTGAAAAGTATTCTCTTTTATACAGATTTCTGAAAAATCAATATGTTCTTTAATAACTTGTTAGTTAGCTAATCAATGGATATTTCATCCTTTGATCTCTGTGGTTTGATTGGTAAATTTAAGTTGCCTAAAGCACTGGGTTTCTTGACTTTTAAGTTACTGTTGAACTATTCCAAAGTCTTCCTTATAGTGTAGAAACATCAACTGTCGACAAAAATGGTGGTATCGATTTACCTGGATAATTTTAATTATAATCCGTGTTAAAAGTATTGCCTCCTGACAGTTCTAATTTCAGGGGACAATACAATTTACAACACAAATTGGTTCGTCCTTTTTTTTCCAGACACGTTCTGTAAGCAATAAAAAAATAAACGAATATTTTTTGTTAACTAACTGTAGTATTCATTTAAACTTTTTCACTTGAATTAACATTTAATCTGGAAAACATTATACAGTGTGTACTTTTTGTATCAGTGCTGATATATTGTCATAAAATAGTAAGGTATTGTTACGCTGTGCGGGTGTTTAAAAATCAGCGTGGGTGAAACTCAACAATTTATTTCTTAATAACTAAAATTGACACGACTGATTACACAGCGATTATGTACAAAATAATTTCGGCGCAACTTGAATGAATTCGCTCACTGGACTCGACTTGCTGACTGAATAATAACCGTTCCCGACGGTGGCCTCTATTTAAAGCCATCCATTCCTCTAGATGGATCGCGAACGCCGCTTCGAGATTTCCCTGACTTGTTTTTATGCGAACGCCGCTCGGCCGTCGTCACTGATGATGACTCACCCATCATCTCTGCACATTTTAGAACCCATAGACATCGTACCGGGGCGGCGTATGGGTTTGTTCCGTAACAGTATTTTAATACTCCTTGATTCTCTTTTGCTACCTACCCCTAGCTTACCAGATTCTATTCTGCATTCAATTAATTTTCATAAAGTCATTGTTAATTATCGATCCTCGTCCCAAAATTACAATCAAACAAACTAAATTAAAAAAAATACGAATCCCAGTGTAAGAAAAAAGTTGCTACGTTCCTCTTAATGTACAAAATGTTGTTATACAATGTTGCTCTTGTTGCGACATACTGAATTCCTAGAATAAATTGGGCTAAGGTTATTTCGACAGAATCTTCTTCGTCCCTGAAGTACAACTTATCCTAATTTTTTTTTTAATTTATAAAATTGCGAGTTTTGTTTTCTTTATTATTACCCTTATAAGTTAAAGCAAAGATATGTGTCTAAAAAAGAACGACAGAAATGAGAAACCTGCATTTTTGTATTCTACATCCCCTGAAATACCAAGAAAATATAAAATTACTGGTAACAAAAGCAACAGAACTAACAACCATTATCGCTTTATGGTTACTAAAGAACCTGAACCTAAAACTCTGTGGTTATGTGTTATTGCCAGGACTTCTTAACCGTTTCCAAATGTAACCGTGCCCACAAGTATTAGCCCCTAATAATTATAGCATGTTCTTGCAATTTTCCAAATAGCGCGACCTTTTTTCCCTCCAATTGAAACCTCTCACCCCTTTATTTCCAGTAAATTTACTCAATTAACCCTCACTTTCAGGATGCCGGAACTCTGCTCGAACCTCGTGCTGCCGCCGCCGTCGGCCAATCTGGCCTGATGTCTCTTTATGACGCGATGTTTGCCCAATACGGCGTAAAAATCGCCCAAGTATTAGTAACGAAACCGGACTTTTACAACGAAGAAACGCGCAGGAATCTGTTCAGCACCCTGTCAGAGCTGATCAGCCTCAACATCGTTCCAATTATAAACACCAACGATGCCGTGTCGCCGCCCCCACAGGTCGACGAACCCATCGGTGGCAAGGCCGGCAAAAGAGGAATCAGCATCAAGGACAACGACAGCTTGGCGGCGATGTTGGCGGCGGAAGTGCAGTCCGACCTGCTGATCCTCATGTCGGATGTTGACGGAATTTACAACAAACCGCCCTGGGAGGAGGGCGCCCGATTCCTGCATACCTTCACGTCGGATCTAAGGCATACCATCGAGTTCGGCCAGAAGTCCAAGGTTGGAACGGGAGGAATGGACTCGAAGGTGAACGCGGCTACGTGGGCTCTGGATCGAGGGGTGTCGGTGGTCATATGCAATGGCATGCAGGAGAAGGCGATTAAGACCATCCTGTCGGGGCGGAAGGTGGGGACCTTCTTCACGGACTCGACGGTGGGAGGAGCGGTGCCTACGGAGGTCATTGCGGAAAACGGTAAGGAAACGAAAGCGCTTTCTAAGACTTAATGCACTGGGTTGGAAGAGCTTTTGCGGGTAAATGTGACTTGTACAATGATTGGGATAATTGTTTTTAAGCGAAAAAGGTAGCCGGGTTTGTAAAGGTGTTTGGCAGCAGCCTGAAGTACGCCTGCTTTTAAAAAAGATATATCAGTAAAGTAGAAAACAAGTGCCCTATTTCTGTTCTGTGTAATTTTGCACACAATTTGAAACACTAAACTTTAAGTATATTTGTGAAAAAATTAAATATACACTAATACCGTCCCAACACTGTTTTATGCACAAAAATTTGCCAGTTTATCTCTGAAAAAATCGATCGCCAGGATCAGACAAAAGTCGTTTATACTGACTTTCAAAAGACATTTAATCGGGTTGATCCTCTCATATTAGTGCAGAAAACATAATGGTTTGACTTCTCTTCACCATTTATATCTTTATGTAACTCATATCTTGCAACAGAGAAAAAATATTGGGTGAGCTATAGAAATGATATTGATTTCGTGGTTTGGGGTCCCTCAGGAATCAAATCTAGTCCCCTTGCTGTTTTTTTTTTATTAACGATATTGTAGATTTTTAAAAAACTATACATTGTTGTTTACCGAGGACCTCAAAATATTTATTAATGTAGTATGATAACTCTAACATCTCGCCAAAATTTTAAAACCCGCGAAAAGTTCAAAATTTGACCTTGAGCTGCGATTGTTAACCTAAAATGATATTTGTGTTTTCTTAATGGCGCAAAGCGTTCAAATGCAAAATGGTGAACCTCAATGCTGGAAAAGTGACCTTAAATTAAAATGCCAAATATGGAAAAAAATTGTTTATTCCTCCCCTTTAGGGAGGGAAAATCTGTTGAAATAGGTTAAAAGGAACTTATGTTCCAGCTGCAAAAAACTTCTCTAGATTCAAAACAGAATCAGTTGTAACAAATAGAGACAAATCTTTGAATATTACAAATTTAAACACACAGAGAAAAGGAAGAGACTGAATTAGGATCAATTGTTCAAGGGCGATCGAGTTCTCCTCAGTTTTCATCGTTACGTTGTGTTGCGAGATTCACGATCTAGGTATGTTACATACTTGACCATATCTTTCATGCGCTCGCACATTCCACGAAGGATTGAGTACTTCATTTCGGAACGTAATTAAAAAAAAATACTGAATAACTTGCCCTAAAAATTCCCTCAAGCCTTGCAACTGACCGATGAACTTCAACTCGTTAATTTTAATTTGCATTGAAAAGGAGGTCCCGACACGAAGTTCTGATGATGATTAAAAAAAATTACTAAAACTGCAAAGCAAACAAATCTTCTGTTCTTTAAACAACGTAAAAAATATGTTATGTAAAACTATGCATTAATTCAAGTGAATGATTGAATCAAAATTATTTTCTCAAGATGGTTGACTCAGCGAATCCCCACATAATTTATCACATTAAACCAAGCATATCTGAAGTACGATCAAAATCGAAATAATAATTCGGGAATAAATGTTCAAATTCAGGCCGTAAGAAAATATCACTTTAATATAATACAAAATAAACATAAAATATCTCTCTCTTTTCGAATCCACGATGATATCAAATTATCTGATGATAACTTTCAAGGTCATTTCAGTTAAAATTGGATGCATGTATGAGATTTGATTAATTGCTATAAACTAACTATTATAAATCTCAAGCGAGAAATTATGAAGTGTGAGTAATATATTTTAATAATATAACACTAACATTTCAGGTTGGAAAATCAATACCATATTTTAACGCATGTTTACAGAAAAAGACGCACCAAAAAAACAAGTGAGTGACCTCTAGGACTTTTGTCTGTCTTAAAAAATGCTCTGAAACTACCAACCAACAGAATGATGTTTTTTTCAAAACAAATTATGAATGGGAAATTTAATTTGTCAAACCGGGACACCACAATATATACAATGAAAGATTGTTTAGCACTACAAAAAATTGGTCTAAAGTTGTTTCCACAGAACTTTCCTCGCTCCTGAAGAACAATAGAAGGATTTCTAAACTATCTGAAAGATGAAAAATTCTGAGAGAATCTGAGGGAACCTAAGGGAATCTGAGAGAGTCCGTGAGAATCTGGGAAAGTCTGGAAGAAACTAGGAGATTTGGAAAAATCTGAGAGAATCGGGAAAAATCTGCAGGAATCTGTAGGAATCTGAAAGAATCTGAGGGAACTTCTGAGACTCTGATAGAATCTTAGAGAATCTGAGAGAATCTTGGAGAAGGTTGAAGAATCCCGAAGAATCTAGAAAAATCCGTAAGAATCTGCAGGGATTTGAAAGGAAATGTAAGGATCTGCAACGATCCGAACAGAATTAAAAAAATTTAAAGAATTTTGAGGATTCCTGACGGTATTTTTGAAATAATCTTAAAAATTCGAAAGAATATGAAAGAGAGAATTAAAAATAATACGGAAGGATGAATTGTAAGGGAAATGAAAGAATCTGAAATCATTTGATAGAATCTCGAGGAATTTCATGAAATCTGAAGGACTCTGAGTGAATCTAAGAAAAGCTAACGGAATATGAAATAAAAAATAGGAAAGAATCAGGAAGAATCAGAAGGGATCAGAAAGAATCGGAAGAAATCTGACAGAATCTCAGAGAATCTAGACGAATCTAGAAGAATCTGAAAGAATCTATAAGAATTTAGAAAAAATCTCGAAAAATTTGAAAAAATTTGAAACGATCTGTAAGGACCTGAAAGATTATAGGAATTAATGAATTATGAATCCAGAAGAATCTAAAGAAAACTGGAAGAATCTGGAAGAGTGCAAAGAATTAAAGCCATCTGGATAACTGTCTGAAAGATGAAAAATTCCGAGAGAATCTGGGGAAACCTGAGAGAATCTAAGAGAATCTCGAAGAATCTAGGAGAATCTAGAAGGCTTTGTAGAAATCCGAAATGATTTGTAAGGAATTTAGAATGTTTGACGACATTTTTGAAAGAATGTAAACAAAATTAAAAGACTTTAAAAGAGAAAATCAGAAATAATCTAAAAGAATGCAAAAGGAAGAATCGTAAAGAAAATAAAAAAATCTGGAGGAATCTCACGGAATCTGATATAATCTGCTATCAAATTGTTCTATAATATGAAACAAAGAATTGGAAAGAATCAGAAAGAATCAGAAGGGGTCGAGAGACTTTTAGGCTTCTAGATGAATCTTGAAGATCTGGACAAACCTGGAAGAATTTGAGAGAATCTAGACAAAACTGGAAGAACATGGAACAGTCTCCAGAGATATGAAGAGATTTAAAGCGATCTGGAAAAATTTGAAAGGACCTGAAACAATCTGTAAACAGAAATATCCAGCATTTTCGAAAAATTATAAAATTTGATTTTGCGGAAGTTGAAATAAACATATGTAAATATGTAATGCTAAAGTAAATACAAAGAAGCATGCTACGCGTATGTTTCAAATAAGTTTTTACTTTACAAAATTTTGTGATGACGTTAATCATCATTTTTGCAAGAACGCATATTTCTTGACTCTATTCATGCAAATTTAAAAATATTAATGCAGTAATAAATCACAAATATAGACTCATCATATTTTGCACATTTTGGATAGGATTTATTCCTCAAAATTTTGAGATAACGTCATCAATTTTTTGGGAGGGGGTAAACTATTAAATTTTGCTTAACGATTTATCATGATCACAATAACCTTAAAATATTTACAAGATTTCAGAGCATTCGGTTTTGCAGTTTCAATTTTATATTGCAAAACATTGTTATTCAGTTTTGAATTTTTTCCAAAAACTCTGGGGGTCTAGGGTGAAAATTCGACACGGATTCACACACCACAAGTGCAGCAGTATCTTACTTTATGAAATAAAAAAAAAATTATTATAAATTTTGGAGATGACGTCATCGTCATCCCATTGGTGGTGAGGACGATTAGCCAAATTTTAGTTAATATTTAACCATCTACATAATATTCCTAATAGACATACAAAATTTGACAACAATCAGTCCAGTAGTTTCGGATATTAGTTGTCTAATAGAAATGGATACAGACAGACAGACAGACAGACGGAAACGGGAGACCACATTTTTCGTACTCTAGAGATTATGGCGTCGAGAAAATATATGAAAGGGGCAAATCGACCGACGGACACGATTATACTATACTTCCTTAGCTTACGCTCGGAAAGCAAAAAACATAAAATACCCCTCCCTTTTCGAGTCCACGATGATATCAATTTAACTGATAACATTGAAGGTCGTTTCTCTCAAAATTGGATTCAGGTTTAATTGTCATAAATGAACTATTATAAATCTCGAGGGAGAAATTATGAATAAGTGAACTTCCTGCCACATTTCCATTACTGTAATTTCAGAACCATAAAATGTTAAAAATTTTCACAGGAACTGTGAATTTACAAACAAACAAAAACTAACAACACCTGTTGACGTATTAGTCAAAAGGCAGCATAACATTTCAGGTTGGAAAATCATTAAAAAATGTATCTTACACTAATTATACACGTGATGGGGATACAACATTTTACATACCAATTTTCAACGCATGTTTACACAACAAAATGCGCCAAAACAAGAAATGAGTGACCTCTTGAACTTTCATTTGTCTTACAAACCACCCTGAAACTACTAACCAAAATTTAGCTAACCATCCGTATCAACAATATGCTCACGTCACTCCTAAATTTTAAGTTAATTTCATAAAGAGAAAACTCTTATAGCGATGCTTTATGAATCCGCCTTCTAATTTTAATTTTTAATTGTAATTTTTATGGTTTATTCACTGATTTTGTACTATTTCTACATTGCTTGGAGATTGTTTTAATAATTCCGTTTTTGAACACAGCAAAGTGCGTAGAGTTGAGGATATCACCTTGTCGAATTCCTTTCTTAGTGGAAATTCTTTCGATAACTTTTCCTGTAATCAGGATGATTGTTATAAATTATTTAAGTATATGTTATATATTAATGA